ATATATATATATGTGTGATATATATATATAAAAATCACAGTCTTCTGCACAGCAGAAGCTTATAACTAAAATATTTTAGGATTCAATTTGTTTTGGTTTGTTTTTAGATAGACATAACAAAATGCCTGCAAATATAATACAGTGAGCACATAACAATTCTTAGTATACAAAGAGTGAATGTGGAATTGTATATTTTATCCACATTCTACCTGTGGTGGAAAAACCAAACTCGCTTGGAGTTTTTTTTAAAGCGTCTCTTAAAAATTTAATCCTTTCAATAAGATATGGTCAGTTTATACTTGGTAAGAATACACTCTTCACATACATGGCAATAATGAACTGTAAATACAACAGGCTAAATCCTGCTCTCTTTAGGTTTGGTGTGACCAAAGGGAGCATAAAGCCTTCAGAGGTGGCCAGAATAAATCAAGACAGACTGTTTATGGAGCATCCACAACCTTGGATCCGCTGTACAGAGAAGTCATATATTGTCCAAAGAAACTATTTACATCAGGAGGAATTTCAGAAGCTCTGCTCACTGAAAGACTTCTTCCTGTGTGCCAGTAGAATCCATTGGATGCTTGACACAAACCTCAGCAAGCCAAGCCACTTAAGCATGGGCTGAAATTCATCCCAGTTCACCAGGAGATGTAATTGGAGTCCCACTGAAGTCAAAGTGCACTGCTGAAGATTTGGTGAGTTGACATGAGGGCTGCCTCCCAAGACAGCTCTCCTGGAGTGGTTACTTGCTTCCAGGGCAGAATTCAACCCTGCGTCTTTTGCATGGAATGTCCTTTTACATGTCTACACCACGGTGTGAGCTTAGAGGCTCTGCAGTTAGCTATCATACAAATACCCTACGTTTGGCTACTGGAAACATTTACAATTTCTTCAGTCACAAGTGGAGTAACAGTGCTGTTCCTTATGCAATTCCATGTACAGTAGTAAAACTAACAGTTGGATATATGTTGCATCAATTTTCCAGAAATTACAGGGTAATCAGTGCCACCTATAACAACACATTTGTACAATATTTCCAGCCATACAACTAAATGCCTGAAGGAGAACGAGCACTTTTCATAGTTGCTGATTTTTTGTTCCCTTTCCATATCAACATCAAGGAAAAATGATGGATTTACATACAGGCAGGAAACACAAACTACTAAACTATTGGTAACAGGGTTGGACTTGATGATCTTGGAGTTCTTTTCCAACCTGGTTGATTCTATGATTCTATGTTTTCCACATTACATAAAAGATCATATCAATCTCTGCAAGAATTTTATTATCCTGAAAGGAATTATACAAAGAATAGAATTTTGTCCAAATCTAGGTAAGGTTTTATTAAAGATTTCGAGTCTCTAAAAACTGTATAACTTACTTTTCCCAGTCAAGTTTCTCAGCCAGGTGCCAGATTTAACTGCTCTTTTTCCTGCTGTAAATACAGAGTTGCTCTCATTAAATAACTAGAACCAATTGAAATTTTAATTCTTGTCTGTTGAGAGAGATTTGGGCATAGTAGATGAAAATTTCTTTTAACATCCAAGGTCTGCCAGTAGCTAATCAGGGTCACCTTTTCATACCGTATGAAATGTCGTGTTTAGTGCTGTAAATTCACAGTTATTTCTGGGTCTAACTAAAGAAACGTTAGTTTGATAACCAAAAAGGCTTTTTAGATATCTGTTAGGGAATCACATATACACCAAAGGAACCAAGCACAGAACTAGAGTCTCTAAGCACTGTGTAAAAGAAAGTGGTAGTGACTTCTATGAGAACTCTGCTTATGGCAGGCTTGTCAAAGTCCATCAGTAATGAAAAGTTTAATTACTAAAGAGATTATTTTTTATAAAATATTGAAATCTTTGACCTCTTATAAGGGGGGAAGAGAAATATGATCATATATGCTGTCCTTGACAGATGCATATATCTCTCAGTAGGTCTTTTGTCATACATGAAGAGAAATATATGGCTCATAGTAAGAAAAGATGTGTTAAATAAAACTCTAATTTGTTTCTCCTAAGATAATCTGAAGAGCAGCATAACAGAGGTCATATGATCTATTTCTACAAAACCATTTATCATCCAGTAATAATGTCTTTGCAAAATTGTTTACCCATTCAAGTATCTTCAGGAGATATGTCACCATACTTGCATATACTGTAAGTCACTCCAACATTTATAAAACAACACTGATAGACAAAAATAAAACACCAAAAAAACACCCATAAATATTAAAAGAAGCTCAACAAACTTGACTATCAAGTAGTTAAAAAATTGTTGGTCTTTTCTGTACATGTTAATTCCATGCTGTCCAAAATCTTTCAATGGAAGTTGTTGAGTTTTTCAGGGTTTTCTGTAGGTCATCATGATCTTGTGTATCCACCGGGAATAATACGAGACCCGAACAAAAATCCCAGGACGATTTCGAATGGCACATCCACGGCCAGGAACAATGACACCAACCACTATCTTCAGCCTGTTTTGTTCACAAACCAAGGGACCACCATAATCTCGCTAGGAAAAAAAAAATAAGTAATGTCACTTCTCAAAATGCTTCAAGACAGAGCTCCCACTGACTGGTTAATTTTGGGGATCACCTTGCTCAATGGAAAGGCAAGAGAGTTATTCTTGCCCTAGGATGTTCACCAACTTCCAGTATGTTTTTCATGAGCAGAATTTATGAGAACCAATGAGGATCTCAAACATAATAAAAGGTAATATTTTGTAGATATAATTTTGAGACATTACTTGTTAAAATGCCTCACCAGAGGGTGTTTGGGCACTGCACAGCTCCCAGGGCAGTGTCACAGCCCCAAGGCTGACAGAGCTCCAGAGGTGTTTGGCCAATGCTCTCAGCACAGGGTGTGATTGTCAGGGATGTCTGTGCAGGGACAGGAGTTGGACTAGATGATCCTCAAGGGTCCCTTCCAGCTCTGATTATTCTGTTATTATTTTGAATGAATGAGACACCTACAAACCAGTTTATGGATTCTGTGAAAATCTGGAGTACAACCCACTGAGATCGAGTTCTTATTTAGTACTAAAATTAATCCAGTTTAAATCAGATCAAACCAGTAATTTGGATACATTCACATAAATTTGGGACTTGAACACAGATACTGCAAATTTTACCCAGGTTAAAGGTACACTGAATCTAGCAAACTAACTGCAAAACTAGAAAGAGTAAATGTTCATATCAGACAGTGAGACATTGTTTAAAAAAATGAAAGCTGACAATTAGCATTGTATTCTCTTTGGGCCACCAGAGAAACAACAATGCTTGACCTTTATTTGGTTTGGGTTTTTTTCTGGCTGATGGCAGACTAGTTCCCACATGAACAATGAACTATGCCAGTGCCATCAGACACTTTGAGAAGTGGAGTTTCACCTGCCAATCTGATTTTGTTCTGCTGCCTGTTCTCTGCTGAGGAAAGTAGCTTCAAAGGGGAACTCAGGGAGCAGGAAACCATGCAGTGATTAAGACTGATTGCTGATATTAATTCAGTCCATTTCTTCTTGCAGGGGAAAACAAAGTGCAGGATCCCCAGCAGACTTCCATGCAGATGTTTCGTTTATAAGCCTTGACAAGTCTAAGACCTCATTTACAATTAAGTATTTTATTTTGAAGAAAATACCCTGCAACCAAAAAAATGATCCTGTGGAATATTAATAATACATGGGAGAGGGCTCAGTTTGATGAAGAAGACCTCCACACCCCGTGGTTTGGTTATACCCTTGGGTAGGGAACGTTTCACTAAATGGTTAATATCAGTATTAGGAAATCAACTATTCTACTACAGATAGTAAACATGTAATAATAATGTTCATGACTGCTTTCCTTGTAGATATCATCTCACCAATCAGACTGTCCACAAAACAAAGTTATATCTTCCTGTAAAAAAGGATTTACAGCATTTCTCCTCAGATGTCTTTTCTCTGTCATCAAAACTAGTCCCAAGGAAAACAACTGTAGCAAACTATGCTATCACTGAAGTGTCCTCACTGATATGTTGCTCAGGCTTGATTAGGGAGACCAAATGCTTCAGCCTTCTGACTAATATGAACCTCAGTACATTTTTAGATCTTTCTCCTTCCTTCATACCTTTATCAACTCTGTTGAGTACTGACTGTTGCATATTTTGCATGCAATTCCCCATGTAATTAAGAAGATAAATTTGCTTCAGCCTTTGCTTTCTATTCAATCAAAATATACTACTATTGCTAGCACACAGCACTCTTTAGCCTCTATTATACAGAACACAAATTTGCCTCAGTCTAGCTAAATATTTAGTCATATGAATATATTTAACATTTGTGTGTATCCTCACTGGTGTGGTGGCACAGTGAAATTAAAGAAAAAGTAGCTCTTTTTGCACTGTCAGAAAACAGATCACTTGTAACACAAATCATTTTCCAATGCAAATACTGAAAAACATTTTTTTGTGTACAAGTTTAACGCAGAGAGAATAATTGCAAAAATCCCCAGCATTTTTTTTTTTTTTAGAAAGAAATAACCAGGCTGACAGCTCCTCAAAAATGTATTAGGAAATGCAATATTTACCTCACAAGGACCAGCACCGATGGTTTCAGCCACAGCACAGATTTCTGACTCATTCACAGTGATCTTTCCTTTGAGATACTGGTTGCATTTTTCATTGCCCAAAATAAACAAGTTTGCTACCCGGAGGAGACCATCATAGTTAACTACTGGGATTGAAAAGAGAAAAACAAATTGATTCTATTTTAGTGGAAAAAAAATCCATTAATTAAGATGCAGTCTGGATAAACTTACTCATGTAACTTCAGTTACTGTATCTTCTCTAAATCCATCCCCACTGTCATCATGGTTTTGTACTGTGGATTTCTTATGTTTTCTACAAATGAGCTTTAAAAGACATTTGTTTTGTTTGCATGTCTGTTCAGTTTGATGAGAATATCTGGACAAACTTTTGGTATCAGAATAAACGGCTAGGGAATTGGACTTACTCTACAGCTCCCAACCAGCTTGACCTATCATATCAAAAAAAAATCAGGAAAAGTGAGCCTGAGGATGTTATCACTCTCATCCATGGAGTGAGGATTCTGCTCTCTGCCTTAAACAGGAGTTAATGTGCAACAGTGTCTGCCATGGCCTAGGGAAGGACGTGTGACTTGAAAAATACTGCAGCAGAGTGGAGTTTTTCTCATTCTGTGCTGGCTCAGCTACACTGAATGACTTTGTGCCTGCAAGGGCAGAGCCACAGCCTTGTGCAATCTCCATTCATCAGTGTGAAGGTCAGGAAGCAGGAGCCCTGTGGAGCTTACTCTTGTTCTACATGTCGAAAGACAAGCCTGTACAAGCTGCAAAGATAAATAAAGAGTCTGGACCTGCCCATTCTCTGCACAGCCATCAAAAGAAAATGCCAAGCTTGCCCTCCACTGACTTATTATCCTGTTTTCTTGGGAAAAAAAAAAGTAAAAAATCAATGTAACACTTCTGCCTTCCCTGACCGGGATTCTGTGAGGATTATAATAAGTAGTGCATAAAATATAGTACAAAGTCCTTGGGTGACAGATGTTATGTATTTGCTGTATTACATAACTCCACAACATTGCAAATTCCTTATCAGTTCTCTTAAGCTAAGCTTTCCTGTGATGCTGTACTGTGCTCCAGCCTGATGTCCCTGTCCCCCAGACAGCAGATGCCCCCAGAGGTTGGCTAATATGGCCATGCTGGGGACATCAAAGCAGTCATTTGGGAGTGGGCTGGTACAGATTAATTGCCACCCACAAAGAAATACAGAGCAATGGCTACAAGGAAGAGAGCCTCAAAACTCCAGTCTAGTTTCAGCTCTGCTTCCAGGACAGTGTGAGTATGTTGCTGTTGCTTACTCAGGGTCTGTGGCAAGACAACATTTGAGCACAGTAAATAATTGGAGCAATTATTGTCAACTGGCAGCTATTAACTTTATCATTGACACATAATTAGCCAGATATAGCATTTACCAGACTAAATAAATGTCTGTTCTCGCACATCTTTGTATTTTCTTCACACAAAAACTGTGTCTAATAAACATTAGTAGGGTTGCAAAGTCAAGTACTGAAAAGTTAGGAAATGCCAGACGTAGGGTGGCTGTGCATCCCTAGTTCACTGCTGTTGTGTATCTTTTTAAAGTCTTTGATTTCATGGTTCTGTATTTGTTTTTCCACAGGGAGACCTGATTTGGGATAAAGAAAGAGACTGCTCAAGTAGATGAACCAGAATTTGCCAAAATCCAGTATTTTTTGTAGAACAATATTTTTCTCTAGCTCATTCCTTGAAATGTTTGAATCATTTTGCCCATCACTTAAACAACAACAAAAAGGGATAGACTAGTAGAAAAAATTACACATTAAATGAACTTAGCTCAAAGATGTACACATGAGAAAAGAAAAAAATAAACTCTATTTTATACCAAAAAGTGTTGGACAACTGTGGCACCAGGCAATACCAGCAGCCTCACCTATAATGACAAGAGGAAGTAAGTTGTCAACGTATTCATTTAGTTTTTAAAAATAGTTTCTTACATCCAGTGTATCCCCATCCATAAACACTGCAACTGGTCTTCTCTGGAATGGTACATCCAGAAATGGGCAAGCGGATTATTTCTACAAAATTTGTCAATATAGCAGGTCTGAAAAGAGAAAACAAATCATAGATAGAATGGATTTTACTTGACCTTCTAAAATGTAGCTTCAAAATGACATTAAGTTTATCATACACTGCAGCAATTAAAACCCGTTTCATTTTCCCTCTTTGAAGAATATGATGGATTCTTCTACCTTTTTTTTGTGCTACAGCTGTTAACTGTCAAAAGATTTCTTGAAATGTTGTCACCACTTTTATGCTCTTGCACTTGGGTTTTCATCTTAAGAGTAAGTAATTATGGCAATTTATTTGAATATATAGTTTTGTTAATATGGAGAAAGTCTGAAAGCTTGTATTGTACACAAGGACCTCAGTTACAATCTGGTGCTTATTCTATAAATCAAAACCCTGTGGGTACTTTGTGGGGTTTTTTTTTTCAAATCTCCCAACAAATCTAAACATGGTTATCAGGAAAAAAAGCACAACTATGGGTGGGATTTTTCAGAAGTAACATCTGCTTTCTGGGTGAGGTAGATAGATCTGAACTTCTGCATATAATAAATAAAATTTCTTTCATTTAGGTGTTTATCTCACAGAGAAAAAACATCTGCAGTGTTGGAGATAGCCCAGCACTGAACTTGCAAATCTTATTTAGGAAGAATCTCATCCACCAGAAGAAAATCCTGGAATTCACAATAACATCTACTAACCTGCTGAGTTTCAGTAAGACCAAATCAGACCCTGTGGGGCCATATACCAACTGGGAGATATTCCGGACTTGTCTGTGCTTCTCCTCTCCCTTTCCTTTGATGTTATGGACTCCAAGCCAAGCTTTGTAGTCTTTCAAATCTTTGTACCTAAATGAGCAAAAGTTGGTTATGATTTTGCTTGAGCATATAATGAAATAACTCAAAGATCTAGGCTTAAATATGATTATGCTAGAAGATCTTAACTAATGCTCTTCAGCAGAAACAGCTTTATGCTGCTGATTGCTATTCCAAAATCAACATGCTTGGATGTGAGTCTTTGGCCTGAAGCCACTACATAATTTTATCTTTAATTGTTAGTAAAATCTCATTTTTGTTTCATAATAGTATCCAAACATTTAGTTCCTCGGACAGTATGAACCTTTGAACTTTTTGAGATTTGCCCAAGTTTTCTGGTTTATTGTGTCCAGTTAAGCAGAAGCATGAGATTATTCTCATAAAGAGGCAATTGTCTAACCGTGACACTTGGAAAACATTTACAACAATAATAACAGAAAATACCAAGGTCCCACAGGACTTTTATATCAAATAAAGCAGTGTTAAAGCCAAACAGGAGTGAAAACTGCTGTGTTTAAGATGAAGAAGTGTTGTGCTGATAAGTTCCCAAAAAGAGACAGAGTTTAAACATGGAATTTAAGGGTTGGAATGGACCTTACAGATGATCTAGTCCCAACCCCTGCCCTGGGCAGGGACACCTCCTCACTAGATCAGGTTGCTCAAGGCTTCATCCAGCCTGGCCTTGAACATTGCCAGGGTTGGAGCAGCCACCATGTCCCTGGACAACCCGTGCCAGTGTCTCACCATCCTTAGAGCAAAAAACATTTTTCTCACATCCAACCTAGACTTTCCCTCCTTCAGTTTGAACCCATTACCCCTTGTCCTATCATTTCAGTTCCCAACAAAGAGTCCCACTCTGGCTCCTTGTAGGCCCTTCAGATATTTAATATTGCAAAGCTACAAACTACTGTACCGAGAAGGGAAACACTGCCTTGCTGTAAGAACCCACTCTTCCTTTATCAAAGTGCCACCACAGATGTGCTTATTCCTAAAGGGGGGGGAAAAAAGAGAAAAAGATATAGGAAAAAAACAATAAAATTAGTTTCTAGATAGTCAAAAAGTTTAAAGAGAGTGCCACCACAGATGTGCTTATTCCTAGAGGGGGGAAAAAACCAGAAAAAGTTATAGGAAAAAACCAATAGAATTAGTTTCTAGTCAAAAAGTTTAAAGATTACTTTTCTCCCCATGTGTTTTTGCTGGTGAAATGTGTTAGATTGACACCATGCAGAAACTTGTCTCTGTCTCTTTGCCCCACAGTTTCAATACCTACAGTAAAATGACTTTGCAGAGAATTATTCCAATGTGTAAATACCAGGAAGAGAGACAAATTCAGTTGTTATGTTCGTTTAGTGGTTTCTAAGCTAAATTTGTAAGAAGAGACCTAACTTAAAAAATAATACTTCAAAAAAAAAGAGCTAATTCTTTGTAACAGGAACTGGACTGAAACATTGAAGCAAGTCCCCAAACTGCCACCAGATGTAAACAACATTTGGTCATTATTCATGTAGGTATTATTCAAACATTGACCTCAAGGTGGAGAGTTCCTATTTGATTACAAGCCCTATGAGATTTGTGTCCCCACATACTTCAGTTGGAAACAATCTGAAGTGTATGACATCCTACATGTGATTACAGAGAACCTGAAGCATAATATATCAAGTAAAATTGAAGCAATTAAGCATGACAGTTCTTTAAAAAAAAAGGATGACTGTGGAATGCAGATTAATTAGTTTCCTTCTTTGTGCCTCCAAAATCACATTTATTTTCTGCAGCTCTTTGGAAAGTGAATCAGAATTGTCAGCGATTTGGGAAAAGCTTAAAATCTCACAATTTATAAATTCAAATCACACAAATGTTCAAAGCCTTGCAAAGAACTGCTGGATGGATACCAGACTCTATATGGAGTTCAAAGACAGCAGAATAACACAGATGCTTGATTTTAGCTTTTTTTTTTAATTGTATTTTGGTTAAGAAGCAAAATAACTGGTCCAGAAAGTTGAAGTCTTTCTAAAACATAGATTATACCCAGTTTTACTATAAAAATGTCACAATTAGGATTATAAATGTGTTCTTCCACATTATGTTTGCATCACTTATTATTATCTTATTTTACAACATTTCATTATCAGCTTTAGAAGATTATAGAATTATAGAATTTAAGGGTTGGAAAGGACCTTACATATCATCTAGTCCCAACCCCCTGCCCTGGGCAGGGACACCTCCTCACTAGATCAGGTTGCTTAAGGCTCATCCAGCCTGGCCTTGAACACTGCCAGGGTTGGGGCAGCCACAGCCTCCCTGGGCAACCTGGGCCAGGGTCTCACCACCCTTAGAGTAAAAACTTTTTTCTAATATCTAACCTAAACTTCCCCTCCTTCAGTTTGAACCCATTAGCCCTTGTCCTGTCACTGCAGCTCCTAACACAGAGTCCCTCTCCAGCTCCTTGTAGGCCCTTCAGATATTGAAAAGTTGCTCTGAGGTCTCCACACAACCTTCTCTTCTCCAGGATCTGCAATCATTTAAGCACTCCCCTATTTACTGAGATTTTGCTGCAAAGCATAAAATCCAGGTTCAACTACCCTAACATTAGCTATTTATATTTTAGGCACCCAGATGTAATTCATCTTACCTGTCTAAAAGTTCCTCAAATATCAAGGCTACTCTTAAAACAGCTCAAAGATGAACTTTTCCAGAGTGTAATTTAGCACACTTATCTGTTTATATATTCTAGGAATATAGTGATGTTCCTCTAGAGACATCTCTCTGGACCATGTGCTACACTTCCAGAAAGGTCTGGTTCTGATGGGATCTCCTAAGATGCAAAGATTATCAAGGATGGGAAGGACCCTCAGAATTTCTTAAGCAATGGAGAAAATATTTTCTTTGTCTTTACTCTCATTTTTCATTTAAGACTTGCCTTACAATGCAGTTTTAAAAGAGTTGACAAATCATAAGCTAATAGAATTGAGCACTAGCAGACTAAATTTTGAAGGGTTTTACTTATTTTTCATGATGGAAGATACAGGGTTGATGTATGAGATATATCCTGTTATAAATTAATAATTCACATTTCCAACTGATGACTTATGAACCAGAGTAACAAACATAGGAAACAGCAGTTCTGTGCCCTCTCTTTTACACAGCAGCAAAGTAAGATCTGCCATAATGTAATACATGTGTTATGCACAAGCTGTACATGTTGGAGTCTTGTTTTACAGAAGGAAAAGGATTTCCTTGTAGTTCCTACTTATATTTTTAATACTAAATAAATTTTAATTGCATGCAATGATATGAGGAGGAAGCTAAATTCGACATGGGTATAAATCCTGAACCCTACACAACTAAATGTTCTGCTGTCAAAGTGAAAATACTGATATGAAATTCAATTTTTTTTTTACTAGTCTCTAAAATAAACAGTCTAATAATGAATGCTAAGCCAAAGTTATGGAAAGGTCTACAGTAGTGAATTGAAAACAGAGAACACTCTGAATGCTTTACAAGTTCATCAGTAGAGTTAGTGATAATGAACATACAAAATATTTCACTAGCAGAGTGAATATTATGGCATCACCTGACATTACAGGAATGCTGAGTCTCTGCTTTTCCAGCATTTCACTGCAATGTAGAAGTATTCTTATTATAGTCAACATTTTCCACAGTTCCAAAACAAATATCCTAGTAGATGTATTGTCCTTTGAACCAAAGTGATAGTTACCTGTAGGTCAAACTAACCACCCATCCTTCGTTAGTTTGTGTTGGGATTCCATTTACAACTCTCAAATGTTTTGTTGAGGCACAAGGAATGGCAGTATCTGAAAGCAGGTCCAGAGATCACATTTTACTAAAAACAGCTGTAGGAAACCTGCACAGTTGCACATAAGGACCACAAGAATGTCAATATTGATTGCGGATTAACTTTCCTGTGCTAATGAAATATATTTCTAGACCAGCGAAACTGTTTCAGTGAAGCTGAGCAGATCTATGTAAATATCCATAGAGAATACAAAAGGTCTATATTTAATAGGGGTTTTTTTGAGACTGACAAAGTTAAAAAGCAAACATTGGGAATCATTACCATACCTCACCACTGGCAATACATGACACTGAGAATAAAGGAGTATAATGAAGCTATTCCCCATTTTCCTCTTGCAAAGGCAATTTTGCTCTGGCTATTTTTCTTTTTCAATATCTTTAGCTGATCTTTATCTTGTTTCCAAACTGGAAAGAAATGACTAGGACACAGTGCACATACAAAATTACTTACCATCCAAGTTGGTTGTAGTAGGAGTTGTATCACCTTCACCTAAACAGACACAAAAGATATCCATAATACAAAATTAAAACACATTTAAAAAGTGAATTGAGTAAAAATCAACAGCAAATGCCATATTGTCAACTTTAATGATTCATTGGGTTTTAAACCTGATTGATTTCTTTAATGCTCTACAAAAGCAGAGTGATAAAGTATTAAGGATTAACAAGAAGGCAGAATTTTATTCCAATAGAATGAAATAAGAAATAAACATTATGCAATGGGAATTTCAAGCATCTTTGTTCATGCTGGAATCCTGAATACATCAGGCTGCCTATCATGTTTAGTTTACATGTGTCATTCAAACAAGCAAATGCTGAAAAATGAAGTTTTCTACAAGATTTCAGGAACTATAGTAGCCATGTGATCTCTCTGACACAAATCAGACTGAAATTCTAATTTCCTTAATAATCTTTGAAACTTCCAAAGCCTTTTTATGCTTCTATCAGCATAAAACCCTTATCCTTATTAAAACATGTTCCCCAAAATCTGGTTTGGTTCTTCTGTCTTGTCCAAATAAAAGAAAAAGAAAAAAGATTGAAACAAGGTTGCTAAATTTCATTCCAAATTTTTGCCTTTAATGAAGAGAGGTATAGGTGTAGCTACTGAAAATTTACACTAGGAAAATTTAGACAGTCTCATCCAACTAGACTTCCATCGTTAAGCAAATATCATAGAGTCATAGAATTCAGGGGTTGGAATGGACCTTACAGATGATCTAGTCCCAACCCCTGCCCTGGGCAGTGCCTTGGTCTTCATTATTCAGTAGCTTCTCATTTTTTCCCTTTTCCATCTTCACTCCCCCATCCCTGGGCAACCTGTGTCAATGTCTCACCACCCTTAGAGTAAAAAGCTTTTTTCTCACATCCAACCTATATATATATACACAAAGGTATACAGTTATATACACAGTTACAATTCTATGTGCATGTGTACACACACCTAAATATATAT